CATTCACATAGATAGAGAACAGCAGCGGTCCAAGGACCGAGCCCTGCGGCACGCCACTGAGGACAGAATTCCTAAACGATTGGCCCCGGCCTACCCGTACACACTGTTCTCTACCCGCAAGAAGGCAGTCACCAAATGAAGGGCGCGGCCAGATACCCCGTAGGAGGACAGCTTTTGCGCGAGCCTCAAACGGGCTACCTTGTCAAATGCCTTCGAAAAAGAGAAGATAAGTACGTCCAGTACGTGGCCGTTATCCACTGCATCCGTCCAACTTTCGCGAGCCACCAGTAGATTCGTCAGATACGAAAATTCCTTCCGGAATCCGTGCTGTACATTGATAGGTAGATTAAATCTACTCAGATGACTCTCCAATGAGTCTCTCATCAGTTTCTCGAGGAGTTTGACTACTACACTCGTCAGACTAACTGGCATGTAATTTGCAGGCAGATCCGTCCCCATGTTTGAAGATGCGACAGATGACAGCTTCCTTCCATTCGGAAGGCAATGCACAGCTGTCAAGCGACTTCTGAAACACAATAGCGAGTGGTCCACTTAGTTCCGAAGCCAACTCATGCAACGGTTTCGGATGAATTAAATCAGGCTCAGAGGCCTTAGAAGAGTTCAGCCCTTGTAACAGCCTACGAACTTCCGTCTCCGCTACAATAAATTCAGATAGTTCTGAACCCTCTGGGGTCCTGCAAACCAGCTCAAGGCCTGGCAAAGAGGTTTCCCTTACAAACGCTGTCGCATATTACCCACTAAATACGCAGGCCTTGTCAAAGTCCGTATGCGCTTGAGTACCGTCATCACGCATCAATACTGGAATTGACATGTGCGAACCGCAGCGCCTTTTGACATAAGCGGAGAATCTTTTTGGATTCTCTGAAGCTTCGTCCGCTAACCCTTTCTCGAAATTGAGCCGAGCATCTCTTGGATGTTGCTTACACCTATTTCTAGCCTTACGATACCTGTCAAAAAGTATCGGTGGACGGAGCATCTCGGTAAGTCCGCCAACATCTAGACCTCTTTGTGAGCAGATGCCTGCCAGTGGGATCTATCCAGTGCGGTTGTGCACGGGCCTCCTTTCTCCTTCTGACTGGAATGAAGGGAGTAGAGTCCTCTGTGAGGTAGGAGTTAAATTTATCTCAGGCAACCTCGACAGTATCGTCGTTTGAGATCTCACAACGCAAACTCAAAATCTTGCCTCTCATGGATTGATAGTATGCGTGCCATATGTTCGGGCGAGACTCAACAGTACTCTGGTAGCGTCTAGACAGAGTACAACTGAAGAGCAAACAAACATGATCACTGGAACCCAGTGGAGTTCTGTAAGTAATGTCACCAACAAAATCGAGTGACTTAGTAAATACAAGGTCTAAGATAGAGGGTACTTGGGCGTCCATGTACATAGTGGGAAGGTCAATGAACTGGTGCAAAGAAACTTGGAGCGTAATCTCAAGCAGATCAGCGCCGAATGTGCCTAACGCTAAGTCGCAAGAAAGATCTGCCCTGCAAATCTAGGAGGTTGAAATGGCCCATCACCAAACACTTGTTTGCGGACTGGGAGCGAATGAATTCAAGTACCTCTTTGGATACGCTCCCAGGGCTTCTTTAAACAATTACAACTGTAAGTTGAGCCGAGGGTGTGCTAATAACAGCCGACAGAGCTTCAACAGTTTTGTCTGCTGACTGAAATAAGCAAGTCTTCAAAACGTCGGCCAGCAGAGCGATCGCCTCTAAATAGTGCGTAGCCAGATAGATGTACTTCACCATCCGTGATGTCCTGAGATAGCCACGTTTCAGTGAATGCGAGTATATCGGGATGAAACCCATCTACAAGCAGACGTAACTCGTACAGCTTATTCCTTAGGCTGCGCACATTACTTAATATTATCTGAAGGTATTCGTTAGATCCAGACCTGGGTCGTGCGCTACCAGAATGGGCAGTGGTAGGGCGGAAAAGGACCGCCGGCTGACCACCCGAAAACCCATTAACCGGAGACCCTGTTCACATACCGCACGCCTGCTTTTGAGGTCCTTGATGGCCTCCCTTAGCTTCAGCCTATCAGCCAGCGGAAGGTCCGGCTGAACGCTAATATTTGTACACTTCAGCTTAGACGCAAACCGCATGAGAGCGCTGCATTTCTTCGGGGTAGAGTACCACACGAAGCAGTTGCGGTCCAGGGTTTGGTACGTTAACTGGGACGTTCCCCAGCCTAATCAGCTTCCTGACAGTAACGCCTGGAAAATCAGGCGGAAGAAGCTTCATTACGCATATTTTAAACCATTGAAGGTCGTTCAACATGCGACCAGCAGGAAGGACAGCAGTAGATTCAGTCGCGTTACGGAATATAACGACACTATCAGTGAAAGAATCGCCACGACGGGGTCAGGTCAGGTCAAAATCCGTGGACGATACAGGCTTCCGCCTAACGAGCGTCCAGCTTCTTGTACCGGTAAGCGAACCAGAGCCCCCGGCACTTCGACTTTTGATCGCCTCTGCTTGCCTCTGCAAAAAGAAATGAAGCAAAAGCGAGAGCAATCTTTTCTTTTACAAGGATCAACATCGGATATCAATGCGAATAAATTGGATGGGATTATATTAATTCCGGAAAGATACGCGGCCAGCACCTGTCTAGGCCTGATTTGAAGGCAACCACAGTCTCACAATCCATTAGTTCCGAAGGCAACTTATTCCAGTTGCGCACTACACGATTCGAGAAGAACTTAGCCGTGACGTTCAGTCTAGCCCTCTGCTGTTTGAGCTTCAAGCGATGTCCACGCAAGCGTTCGGAATCAGCCAGCTCAAATAAATCAGAGGGCACGATGGCACTGAGGCCCTTCATGATCTTAAATGTTTCTATCAGATCGCCTCTCAGTCTACGCCGTTCAAGGGAAAACAACCCCAAGCTCTTTAGGCGATCTTCATACGGCTTCCCCCGTTGACCTTCAACCATCCTGGATGCTAGTCTCTGAATCTTCTCCAGGCAAAGAACATCACCACGGAGATAGGGCGACCAAGCTTGAACACAATACTCTAAGTGTGGCCTAACCACTGCTTTGTATGGTGGCAGAAACACTTCTGGCTTGGTATTACACAGAGCCCTCCTGAGGCGAAACAATTCTCGTCGCGCTTTGTTGGCGGCGTATCGACATTGCATCGAAGGCTTGAAGCTGCTCGTCAGGATGACTCCTAAATCGCGTGCCTGGGTAGTGCATTGTAAGGAGAAGGGCCCAAAGGAAGTCTGAACTGCAAGTACGTCTCTACTAGTGGTCAGAATTTGGCACTTGCTTGCATTCAAGGGCAAGTCCCATTGCTTCGACCAGTTTACCACATTGACGATATCCTTGGCCAGTGTTGCACGGTTGCCCCTGCTGACTAGTTTCAAGTCATCCGCAAAGATATAAAGGGTCTTCAATAAGAGGAGCCAAGTCGTTTATAAACATAAGAAACAAAAGTGGACCTAGCACCGATCCTTGGGGTACTCCACTGTAGGCCACGCCTACACTAAAGCTCACATCACTGATTCTAACTCGAAACGTTCTCCCATATAAGAATTCTGACACCCAAGACAGAAGTCTAGGATGCACTCCGAACCATGCTAATTTTTCAAGTAGGAAACGGTGATTTACTGAGTCGAAAGCCTTGCTAAAGTCAAGATAGCAGACTTCTACCGGAATCCCGTCGTCAAGACATCGATTAATCTCATCGAGGAAGCACAGTAGATTAGTGAGGCACGACTTCTTTTTAATGAAACCATGCTGCTCTGCTCTAAGTAGGCTGTGCTCCGCCAAATGCTCACAAATCCGGTTTCTTATAAGCTTCTCTAAACACTTGAGCAGAACACATGTTAGACTGATGGGTCTGTAGTTAAGGGGCTCCGATTTGGAGCCACCCTTGTGAATCGCAACTATTGCTGCTTCCTTCCAGTCTCGTGGCAACTTGCATTCCTGGAGCGACAAGTTGAACAGCTCCAGAACAGGATGTTGAAGGATGTCAGCTAGTGGCTTGACTATTGCCGGATGTACATCGTCAGGACCGGCTGATTTGAAGGGATTCAAGTTAGTCATCACAGTAAAGACCTCTTGCGCAGTCAGCACGATGTCCTGCATTATATAACTGCTGACACAGTGTGGCTGCAATGCTGCAGCACATCCATTGTCGCTCCTATGAAGATTCTGAAAGACTTAGCAGCATTTCAGCTTTATCTCTGGCTTCCACAGCCTGGCTGCCATCTTCCATAATTAGACACCCAACGTCCTCTCTTAGAGAGGCTTTAGACTGAACATAGCCGTAGTAACACTTTGGATTTGTTTTCGCAAACCGGGCCAGCCGAAGCTCATAAGAGTATTTAGCCTGCCGTTGCATCTTGACAGCCTTATTCCGGCTTTTTGTGTACTGCAGCCATCGACAAAAGCCCCTGGCCTCATTGAATTTTTTCCACTTCTCGTTTCGTCTCTTTAGAGCTGTATCAATTCTCCTCCTCCACCACCGAGGCTTGCTGAAGTGTCTCGCAGGACGAAGAGGAGCAAACTCATTCAATAGTTGTACTAAACCAGTTTTAAGCACAGACCACCTTTGTTCCAAAGATGCCTGTTCCTGGTCAGGGATCCAATTGACCTGGAGGGCTCTATCCCTCAATTTCATGCGGTCGATGCGGCTGAAATTTCTCACGAGGCGAGGATGTCGTGCAGGCTTCAATGTATTAATCCTACGGGTCTTTGATTCGATACTTGGAGCAGGTGGCTTCACCACTGGTGATGGGACTGTCTTTAATGTAATATTCCTTCGGTCCGGCGTTCTGGACTCTTCCGTGTCCAAGTAGTGTGACAAGCTGCAATGCAAGATAAATACCTCGTAGACGGCTGTACGCTCGAGCCGCCTAGTAAGAGGCCGATGTAAAGGAAGCAGCTAAGGAAGCACGAAATAGGGAAGGAAAAGTGCCGGAGAGGAATATTAGAGTAATGATAACAGGAAGCAAAACCGACCGACCTCCTACCTGTTGACGTGTTACCGTGATGCCCGCAGACCGGCTACATTTAACCCCTCCGATGAAATAGCAACGGCAGCGTGTTTTTAGCTCACAGAGTACTGTGAGTACTACGCGGTAAAATCGATTTTTGGCGTACTATACTGATCGAGCTTTTCGGCTGAAATAATGTGGAAAACAGGGTTTGATTAAACACTTGAAGCGAAATTTGACTATTGTCAAATCTTCTCTGATCCAAGGTATCTTGGATCGATTAGAGTGGTACTGGCCAAAGCATCTTTGGCGCTTACTGTTAATTTTTCCGGTCGTTCCCAGTTTTAGCCCCGTTTTGCACCCTCTTTTGCCTTTTTATTGCGGTCGTTTTCCTAATGTTTGCGTGTTGTAATTCTGCTCTGTTTTCCACATAAACATGGCTATCTCACGGGTTTCACGGGTTTGCGCAGAACGAGTAAGCGTAGCTTTTCAGTGGTTCTGCCTCGGGATCTTACGCTAAACACCAAAACCGATGGACCTGTAGCAATTGCAAGTAATTTGCTTATTTTGCATTTTCACGTCTACCTATTTCGCTGCAGTTGTTATACAGCTTTGTTTTAATTAACTGTATTTACACACACTGGGTTACGAGCTCGTCTTCCGTGGTTCTTCCTTGGTTGCCGCTGCATTATTGTGATTGTGCGCCTCGCTGCCCGCTTGGTTCACGATCGGACTCTACGTACACGTACATTTCGGCATATCTCGGGATTTACGGCCGTCCGACGCTAAGGTGCATCAGCATACTTTATATGTGAGGTAAACCTGACCGACTTTGTATTCTCCTTTACCGGTTCCTCCATAGACCCATGGGTCCTCGTTGGATGAGTCTACTGCAGCTTGCGGACAGGTTAACTGTTCAAAACCAGTAACAGATTTATCTGGCTGTATGCAGTGTGACGTCTGCTGCCGCTGGTATCATGAAAGCTGTACCTGTCCACAAGTTGACCAGTACAAAATGCTACCATCAAGCGTTCACTTTTTCAACTGTGCTGAATGCTGCGCTCAAAGATCGACGCGCCAGGCCATCACCGGTGCTTGACTTTCAGCGCTGCCTTCAAGGTTGGCAGATGTTGAGTTGGCGACAGCTAAGCTCGCCTCTATTGCGTCGCTCCATACGAAACTGGATATGATTTTAAAATCCCTGAATATTTCGATTGGAGTCACTGCAATAGACGGCAACGTTGCTGACGATCCATCCAATGGAGTCTGTTACTCGGTCACGAAGTCTCACATCTCACCGGTCATTCCAGGTAGCATTACTGGCTATCCTCATGAACCGCTCAAAGTGAAGGAAAATAGGGTGCGGAATACAAATTCCCTCTGCTAAACCCAGAGAATTAGTTGCCATGGTACCGAAAAAGATGCCATCTTTGACAGTCGTAAAGTCATCTGACGATTGTACACAGAACCTTCCGAAGAATACTGAATACTGGTTCGAAGCAGCATGTAGAGCTTTCTCTGTGTAGCTGCATCATTCATCGCTCTTGGACATATACTCCTTATTTATCGTTCCACTCTCTAAATTTTGCCTCTGCAACGTGTTTGTCAAGGAGCTTCTTCAATTCCGACACTGTGTTCGCCTCTACTGTGTGCTGCGGCAGATCGTTCTAGACATTCACTACTCTGCGTTCAAAACATAGTTGGTGAGCGACCCGCTGCAGCTCCGGTACGATAAGCTTATACCGGTGTCCTACCGTGCAGCTTGGTGTGCGCAGATGAAGCAGTTGTCTTAACATGGGATAAGCACTCAGATGCAATATCTGGTGCGTCATGATGAGGTCAATCCTCAGTCGGCGATACGCTAGGGTGTGCAGCTCTAGTTTCTTACATGGGTCTCCGTATGGCAGACCTCGTAAGTAGGGAATCAGCTTGGTGGCTACATGCTGCACTCGCTCAAGCTTTTCTATCTCGCCCCTGGTGATGGGACAATACGCCGGAGAGCCGTGTTCTAGCATTGGTCGTATAATCGAGAAGAAGAGACGAGTGGCAATCTCTTCGGACCAAGTGCTGAAGCTGCGCCTGAGGGCCCAAAGCATCCGAAGGCTGTTTTGGTACAGCCTATTCGTGTTGTCAATGGAATTTAGATCGCAGCGTGAGAGTACACAGAAGCCGCGCACGAAATTCGCGGGATGCAACGGTTGACCCGCTACTGTGTAGGTTCGGCTGTGCTCAAACTTACCCAACCTCATAAATTGCGACTTGGCAAGGTTGATTGGAAGGTTAAACTCTGCAAACCATGTCGAAAGGCGATCGAGGTCCTGCTGAAGTACATCTCAGCCAGCGAGTGTGCCGGTCACTCTCCACACCTTCCAGTCATCTGCGAACAACCCACAAGGTGAATGCAGTAGTTGAGGCACATCGTTTACATGGATCAGAAAAAATCGGCCCTAATAGAGTGCCTTGGAGCACGCCACTGCTCGATGAATACCAATCGGGTAAATGGTTGTCTACCTGGACCCTCTACTTTCGATCAACAAGGAAATTTCCGATTCTTTGGTGCAGCCAACCACCAACACCGCACATCCTCAGCCTGTCAAGAAGCACTGAGTGGTTAACCTTGCCAACAGCCTTACTGAAGTTAAGGTAAATGACGTCGATCGACTGGCCTTGGTTCAGCGCTTCTATACATTAGTGCTTCGTCATCAGTAGGTTGGTGATGCACGAGCGACCTTACATGTAACCATGCTGTGCGGAGGTCAACTGGTTTTCCGACTCGAGAAGCTGCAGAAGGCTCTTGTTCACGATCTTCTCGAGCGTCTTGGCCTAAACAGTGGTCAGGCAGACCAGCCGGTAGTAATCCACTTTGCTTGGGTTACCATCTTCCGGTATGGACTTTTCGACTGAGCATTTCCGGTCGTTCGGTAACAGCCCAGTGGATAGTGACCAGTTAAACAGCTCAGTTACAGAAGGCGTGATGATGGCCCATAGGGATTTGAGGAGCAGTGGTTGTATACTATCTGGCCCAGCGACCTTCGTCCCATCAAGATTTGCCAGAAGCTTACGTACCTCCTCATATTGCAGTCCAGGCTGTTAAATACGGCTGGTGCGGTACTCGTCGAACTCGTTACAGACACCTGGTCAATTGCAAATACGGATGCGTAGTGCGCCGCCAATGCGAACGCACGATGGGGAGTCAGGTCAGGTTTGGTCAGGTTCAACGGACGATAGAGGCTTCCGCCCAACGAGCAGTAAGGTTCTTGTGCCGCTAATTGAAGTGGCCCCCGGCACTTCGACGTTGGATTGACTCTTCTTGGTTCAAAAAGTTATCCTTCGGGGTCACCAATTATAGCGCGAAGATTGTAGTGCCTATTAATCTTTTAGGTCAGGTCAGGTCAGACGGACGATAGCGGCTTCCGCCTAACGAGCGTCCAGTTCTTATGCCGGTAAGTGAGGCGGCCCCCGGCACTTCGACGTTGGATTGTCTCTTTTTGCTCCTGCAATGGAATGAAGCAACAGCGAGAGCAATCTTTGCACCTTCATATGCCAGCGTCAAAATACACTACATATTCCAGTACGACTACAATATCTCTGGAAAAAGGATGGTCCAACCATTGTCTAAGCCCCTTTTGAAGGCTTCTACTGTCTCAGACTCCACTAAAGCAGAAGGAAGTTTATTCCAGAAGTTAACCACTCGGTTCGTGAAAAGATTTGCCCTGATGTCCAAACCAGCTCCGTGATGTTTGAGCTTCAGGCGATGCCCGCGCAGATGGTCTGACATAGCCAACTCTAACAGCTGGGTAGAGCTAATACCACTAAGCCCCTTAATGATCCCAAACGTCTCTATCAAATCCCCTCACAACCTACGCCGTTCCAAGGAAAATAATCCTAAGCTACTTAGACGATCTTCGTAAGACTTTCCTTGTTGACCTTCCATTATCCTGGTCCCAAGTTTCGGAATCTTTTCTATACAAATGATGTCCCTCCGGAGGTACTGTGACCAGGCCTGAACACAATACTCCAGATGTGGCCTAACCACTGCTTTATATAAGGGCAAGAATCCTTCTGCTTTAGTGTTACTCAGCGACCTCCTAAGGCGAAATAACTCGTGTCGTGCTTCGTTGGCAGCATTGCGACGCTGTGCCGAAGGCTTAAACTTGTCCGCTACGATGACACCTAGATCACGGGCTTCGTCAGTACAACGCAATGATAGAGATCCCACAGGAGACTGAACTGCAATTCCGCTTCCTCTACTAGTCAATAGTTGACATTTGTTGGCATTTAGAGGTAGGTCCCATTGGCTTGACCAATTCACTACCGTCTGTACTCGAGGTTAGTGGCTGCCCTTCTGTCTGGGAGAAAGTAAGAATTGCCTTGGAAATCCACTATTTTAGCGATTAATCGATTATTAACAATTATCGCATCGATTTCGAGCGTTCCGGAATGTTCTGCTTCTGCACGTGATTAAAATCCACCTGGCCCCTTGGCAGAAGATATGGGGAACCATTAACCTAGGTAGCTGACCTTCCAATTCTTAAATTCGAAGGTCGGTAAGAGACCTATAAATAGAGCCAAGGTCCGCAGTCGTCGTACAGTGTCCGTTGGTGGCGATTAATACGTCATTTTGTCAAGGTCGTTGGCGTTTTGCTTTTTCCTTCGGTTGGGCTAGAAGTTTTGTGGAGCAGTAAGTTGTTACTTTGGAATTGCGTCTGGTAGAAGATTATAACGCTTGGCGACGGAGAAAATTGGAAATGTAATGAAATCTTCTGCTAAACAAATTCAAAAGCTGCTTTTTCAACAGTAAGCTCAAATGGAGACGCAAATGAAGATGTTTGAAAAGCTGACAAATTGCTTGAGTTTGCAGACAACAGGAGCAGCTGCGCGGGACAAGCAGGTGAGCTCTGTTGACCTTCTCACGAACGCCATCACTGAATTCAATTATGATGCGTATTCTGGAAGCACCTTCGAAGCGTGGTACAAGAGCTGAGAAGACATGTTCCAGCCGGACTTCATTCGTCAGGACGACTCCTGGAAAGTGCGATTGCTACTCCGCAAGCTGGGAATAAGTGAACATTCAAGGTTCCTAGACCACATTTTGCCCAAACAGCCGAAGGGCCTGATTTTT